TCCGTCCGCGGGGCCTACGGAGCTCTCTGAGGCCTCCGCGAATTTCCCAGAGCCAAGCCGATTGTGATTGTGGAAGAGGACCCTGAGCCCCCATCCAAACAAGGACTATCATCAGCGCAGGTAAGGAAAAAAATCACATTTTCATTTTGTACTGTTTTATTGATTTCCTTTTATGGATCAGTGGCCTTGTTAGAAAGTTAAATTCATGTAAAACTGCTGTTTTAGGGGTCGCTTTTCATCGCCTGGTTCCTTTTTGTGTGGCTTTGTCGGTTTTTTGACTGTGACTTGTTCTTCATTTTATGTGACTGACTTGTGACTTTGCTTTTGTGACTGTGGCTTGTGACTTCATTTTTGTGACTTGTTCTTGTGACTGTGTGGAACCCAGTTCAGCTACTGGTGGATTGTGTGACTTCAGAAATGGATAAAAGCCCCCCATCCAAACTGACAATCATCAGTGCACGTAAGAAAAGAAATAAATGTTATTTTTTTTCATCTAAAATACTGTCTTATTTATTTTATAGTGCAGTACATTGATTATTGCCTTCATTTTATGCATCAATGGTTTTGTTAAACAGTAAAATTCGTGTTAAATTGCTGTTTTAGGGAGTGTTTTTCATCGTTTGGAATGGATCAATCCACTTTCCATTACTTTCCGTGGGAAGGTCTGCTTCAGGTTAAGAACGCTTCAGGTTAAGAACAGACTTCCAGAACCAATTAAGTACTTAACCTGAAGTACCACTGTGTATTCCTCCAGACTCCTGAGGAACTGCTTCAGTGGGGCTGGTGAGTGTGGGCCCAGCCCCCTAGGCCAGGTGGAAAGCCAACAAAATGATCCAGGGGATGGAGGCACTCAGTTCTGAACTTCACTGTTCATCACCAGGAAGAAAAGAGAGCAGACAAGCCATATAATTATGCAGGTGCTGTTTCAAAGGCAGCAATTTCTCCCATGCTTACGTCCCTCCCGCTTTCTCCAAAGGCTAATTCACAGGTTGAAACCTCAGCTGGACAAGGTTGAAAAATGCCAAGATAAAATGTCCACATCCTCATGACTCCAAATGATTTTCTATATGATGACGAAGTTGTGCTGGTCTGAAGCCACTTCTTTTCCTGCAGGGCTGCTGGCTTTCTCATGTTTAAAATATTGAGTGGAACTAAGAACAATACAATTACACAAATATTACTCTGAACATTTGCTAACCTTCACAAATTTTCCATCTATTCTGATGAACATGGACTCTGAATTTTCCAGAGGGTCCTTTTATTTAATTACTCCGTAAAACAGGGGTTCTTTAAATCGAGGCTGTCAGTGTTTGTCATATCACAAATTTGAAAGAGATTTTTTTTAAATTTAATTTTGAGAATTTGTTACTCAGCAGAGCGGCTTTCATTGTTGGCATCTGTCTGTCTTGAGACAATGGAGTGCACCGCCAAATGGCTGCATTAGAAGCACCAAAGTGACATCCCTGGGATGTGGGGAGTGTGTCTGGAGGTTGCTGCCCAAGCAACAAGACTCCCCCCTCGACCTTGCTGATGTGGTTGAAAGGAACGGAAAGCAATACATTTGGCTCCAACTTGGCTGCAGTAGTTGCCAGATGGAGGCGTGCAAGGCGCCATCCAACTGTCTTAGGGATTCCACTCCAGATTTGTGTAGGGTTTACTCCTTAGCCTTTTCTTTTCCCAAATATATCACTCAAGACAGTGGAGGTTTAGGATCAGAGTTGTCCTTCTCCCAGATGGGCTCCCTTCCCGGGTGGATGAGCCCCATCTGCACCTCACTTCCCTCTACAGCACATGCAGAAACCACCATCTTAACCATAGGACCGACTGCTGGTCTGGTCTGCTCAGTCCACCAGAGCCTGTCTTTGCATGCAGAATAAGTTTAGCCAGTTTAGCCAGAATAAGTTTCACCCAGTTTAGCCAGTCAGTCAAACCCATTCCTGGAGTCTGGCTGTTGTTGCATGCCAACAGTTTCTAGAAGCCACAGGTGAAAGCTGAGTGCAGGGTGGGGACCAAAGGGGGACAAACAATCCCATAAGGAGCACAATGTGTCCCCCTACTAGAGGTACTACCCTTCCCTAACATCCCATACACCCCAGTGGGTTACATAGAATCAGCCAAAACAGGACCGTTCCTGCTCAGGAGCTTGCTATCTAAATGCAAATCAGCAAATCCACAACACACAAAGGGAAAGGCACAGGGAAGGAAGAGGGGGAAATCAAACTCAGGCACTAATTCTTAAACAATTGTTCTTATAATGACCAGCTGGCACACAGTACAGAGTAAGGAGGTGCCTGACGGAATGAGCTTTGCTTCCTAATTTCTCCAAGAGAGACAGTCTGATAAAATGGCTGATCCCAGGAGACCCAAAGAGAAAATCCATGGAGGCAGGGGGACAAAGCACAACTCTAGAGGGGAAGCCCCCTTGTTGCACCCACACTACAGAGCTGGGAAGCAAACACTGAAGGGAAAACCTCATGTGGCACTGTGGCAATGTGTGCTGTTGGTGGGAAAGTTAGATGACAGTGAGTTTGGGAGCCATGGGGACTGAGCCCAGACAAGGAAGTGGGTGCCAAGGGAGCTAAATTTCATACACTGAATCAAAAAATAGTTAGGTGTTTGACTGCTGTTGCCAATGAACCTCTGCTTGCGTGTTTCTTTCGAATTCTGCCTGATGGTTTCACAACTCTGTTCTTTGATGAAGGAGGAGGCATGGAACTTTGTGGCAGATGAGTGGCAGGAAGGGGGAAGCGGAGACCGCCCTCAGTTTCCCAAAGCTGGCAACAGCCGTCCTCATTATCTATCAGCACCCACCTGCCTTCTCCATAATTACATGCCCTCAGAGAAGCCAGGCAGGGAGACATTTGCATTCTTCAGGTCTCCTTCCAATGTAACTTGACCCATCCAGTCTCTGCCTCAAGTCTATGGTGTCTGTATTAATTACAGATTGCACTCCCAATGTTGCATTGGGTAGATCTCTTCTGAGTCATTTGATTTTGGCATGAAAATTAGTTCCTATATGTTTAGCTCCCGTTATCCCTTTCTACTTTTGTTTTATTTGGCATCTGTTATTACACCTAGCTATGCTATAAGTAAATATATGTAAATTTTTAAAGAAACATTTCCAGGGCGCTAGTAAAGCTTTTAAAGTGTGTTATAAGCAATTAGAATAAGTTATACCTAGTCTTGGTTGAGCTTTGAGCCTCTTAGATGGTTTCCCTGTGTCTTATCATCCTTCAAGGAAAGGGTTGTGGCTCACCAGTGGAGCACAATTGCTTCCCATCTTTTTTTTAGAAATAATCAGATAGCAGGAAATCACTGGGAAGAGCTCTCTCTGCCTGGAGAGTCTCTGCCTTAGGGTTCCCCTACTTTCTGGATTTGCTGATCCTGATTTGCTTACACAATCCTGATTTGCTTACACAAAGCTTATGTGTTGTGAATTTTCTACTGGGTTAAGTTCAAGGTGTTACTATTAGTATATAAAGCCCTTAACAACTTCAGGCATGTGCCTGAAGCTGGTAATACTAGAAATTCAAGTATTTTGCCTGCATAGCTTTTACTGCTACTGTTGCTGTGAACCAATGCATGAAGTAAGTAAATCTGATTCTTTGGTAAGTGGGATGAGAAAGGGGAAGTCAGCTTACTTTGTTAGCTGGACTTGCTCAAAAGAAAGTTTTGTAGCCTAATTCCTATACTTTTAATTTAGCTGCCAAAGAAGGGATTTTGAAGCTCTGATAAACCAACACATGGAGGTGCATGGAGGGATAAATCACTCAATTAATATATCCTCTCCTACCTATCAAAATCATCCCACACTAACCCTGTAACCGTTCTTCAGCCGATGTCACTCAGTGACATGATTAGCAAGTGGGTGGGATTGGGGGGGGGGGGAAATGACCTCATGGCTCAAACTGGGGCCCCTAGCCAGAGACTTCGCACCCCTGGCATGGATGATGAAGAGATGGCTGGTTCAATGGTCTCATTAGGTATAACTCCTTGGAGTTGCAGGGGCGTGGCATCTGGGTCTACTCTCCAGGGTTTACTGGCTCTGGGTCTTTGCCGGAGGGAAAGTCATTGAGGATTGGATCTGAGCCACTGTGGCATAGTGGTTAATGTATCAGGCTAGGACCTGGGAGACCAGATTTCAAATACCTGCTCAGCCATGGAGGTCATTGGATTTGGGTGAACTGGGGGCCAGTCACTTACTCTAACCTACCTCACAGGGAAGAGGAAATGGGGGAAGAGCACTATGCTAGCCACCCTGAGCTTCTTAGAGCAAAAGTGAGATACAAATGCAATTAATAATGCATAATACAACAGTTGTGCAGGGGAGCTCATGAGTCTTATATTCTCACTCAGCCCCAAACTAGGTCTGACACACAGTCTTGTCTATCTCTCCCCACTGGAAAAGTCTTTTTTTATTTTCAGACTAAGAACAGCCTTGGGAGGATGTGAGTTTAAGTGGCTAAATGGTGGGAGCCTGTAATGGCTTTGTAATTGTCCTTCTTGAGATCATTTTTTACTGAAGGTGTGGGGACTCATTGAGAAAGAGAGAGAGAGGAGGAGGAGGAGGAGGAAGGGGGCAAGGAATTAACCGTCCCGTCCCCCCGGCTGCATTCCACTCAATATTGCCCACCCCAGTCACAGTCTCCAAGTTCTCCACTGCTTAGTCCAGTTTCCAGAGTCTTTGAAAGGCCAGTGTTAATGTCAAGTCATGTGGCATTGACTAGATGGTATCAGGAGCAATAATAAAGTATGGCTGAATGAGGAGCTATTGTTTTCTGTGAGGGAAGATCTATGTGCTTTTATTTATTTCTTGAATTTATATACTGTTATATACCCAGAGGTCTTGGGGCGGTTCACAGAACAAAATATAAAACCACAAAATATATAATCAAAATAACACCCTCCCCCCCAAAAAAGAACCACATTTTAAAAGGGCATAGGATGTCAATCAGATCAACCAATCAGATCATGTCCAACCCTCTGCAATGCAGGAATCTTATTGCCCATGGTGGGGCTTGAACCCATGGCCCTGAGATTAAGAGTCCCATGCTTTACCGACTGAGCTGTTCACTTAATTTACATTCAGGTATTTAGTGAGACATAAGGAAATAGAAAGAGCCTGACTGGATCTTGCTAAGGGCTCAGCCCTCAGTCTAGTATTTTGGTTCCCATGGTAGCCCGTTGGATGCCTCTGGGAAGCCTATTAGAGGAGTGTGAAGACAATAGCCTTCCCCTGTTGCTTTCTTCCACCCTCACCACTCTGATCATGGAGGTTCCATAAAGCCAAACAAGTAGCCATTGATAGACCCAATTCTACACCCTCTTCAAAGTTGTCTAAGCCAGTGACAACTTATGATGGCCTTCCTTGGCACGTGCCAACTCAGAGGAAGCGACTCTGATCTGGCAAGAGTCCCCCCTCTAGGCCGATGTGGCATGAAGTGTACTCAATAAATAAGCTGATTTATTTATATATTCATATTTAATTCTATACTGTATTTGTACTCGTTTGTCATCATGCTGGTGACTTCACATGCTCCAGGATGAGGGAAGCATCAGAGACAGACAGGAAGCAGGGCAAGTGAGCAGAGCATCCAGTGAGCAAGGCGGGCTTGTGACTGTTGGGCAAGGAAGAGGGGTGATGGGGAGAGGTGAGCACCTTACTGTTGTTGTTACTTCCATAAGACCTCCAGGCCTAGCCCATGAGTAGGGTTGTAAGAAGGCAGCAATTTCCATCCTAAACTGTGTCCTTCACAATCAGTACTATTTCCTTTCTACTGCAGTTCAGCTTCTACCAAATGCTATGTTAATAATAATAATAATAATAATAATAATAATAATAATTTATTATTTGTACCCCGCCCATTTGGCCGGGTTTCCCCAGCCACTCTGGGCGGCTTCCATAGAAACCAAAAATACACTAAAATCACAAATTAAAAACTTCCCTGAACAGGGCTGCCTTAAGATGTCTTCTGAATGTCAGGTAATTGTTGATCGCTTTGACATCTGAAGGGAGGGTGTTCCACAGGGCGGGCGCCACTACCGAGAAGGCCCTCTGCCTGGTTCCCTGTAGCTTTGCTTCTCGCAATGAGGGAACCGCCAGAAGCCCCTTGGCGCTGGACCTCAGTGTACGGGCAGAACGATGGGGGTGGAGACGCTCCTTCAGGTATACTGGGCTGAGGTCGTTTAGGGCTTTAAAGGTCAGCACCAATACTTTGAATTGTGCTCGGAAACGTACTGGGAGCCAATGTAGGTCTTTTAAGACTGGTGTTATGTGGTCTCGGCGGCCGCTCCCAGTCACCAGTCTAGCTGCCGCGTTCTGGATTAGTTGTAATTTCCGGGTCACCTTCAAAGGTAGCCCCCGTAGAGCGCATTGCAGTAGTCCAAGCGGGAGATAACCAGAGCATGCACCACTCTGGCGAGGCAGTCTGCAGGCAGATAGGGTCTCAGCCTGCTAACCAGATGGAGCTGGTAAACAGCTGCCCTGGACACAGATTTGACCTGTGCCTCCATGGACAGCTGCGAGTCCAAAATGACCCCCAGGCTGCGCACCTGGTCCTTCAGGGGCACAGTTACCCCATTCAGGACCAGGGAATCCTCCACACCTGCCTGCCTCCTGTCCCCCAAGAACAGTACTTCTGTCTTGTCAGGATTCAACCTCAGTCTGTTAGCCGCCATCCAACCTCCAACCGCCTCCAGGCACTCACATAGGACCTTCACTGCCTTCACTGGTTCTGATTTGAAAGAGAGGTAGAGCTGGGTATCATCCACATACTGATGAACACCCAGCCCAAACCCCCGATCTCTCCCAGCGGCTGCATATAGATGTTGAAAAGCATGGGGGAGAGGACAGAACCCTGAGGCACCCCACAAGTGAGAGCCCAGGGGTCTGAACACTCATCCCCCCCACCACTTTCTGAACACGGCCCAGGAGAAAGGAGCGGAACCACTGTATAACAGTGCCCCCAGCTCCCAGCCCCTCAAGACGGTCCAGAAGGATGTTATGGTTGATGGTATCAAACGCCGCTGAGAGATCCAGCAGAACTAGGAAACAGCTCTCACCTTTGTCCCTAGCCCGCCGGAGATCATCAACCAGTGTGACCAAGGCAGTTTCAGTCCCATGATGAGGCCTGAATCCCGACTGGAAGGGATCCAAATGGTCCGCTTCTTCCAGGCGTGCCTGGAGTTGTTCAGCAACCACTCGCTCAATCACCTTGCCCAAGAATGGAAGATTTGAGACTGGGCGATAGTTGGCCATTGTGGCTGCATCTAAAGATGGTTTTTTAAGAAGCGGTTTAATAAGCGCCTCTTTCAGCGGGTCTGGGAAGTCTCCCTCACGGAGGGAAGCATTCACCACCCCTCGAAGCCCATCGCCCAGTCCTTCCTGGCTAGCTTTTATAAGCCAGGATGGGCAAGGATCAAGGAGACAAGTGGTTGGTTTCACTCGTCCAAGCAGCCTGTCCACATCCTCGGGGGTAACAGATTGAAATTGATCCCACGCAACTTGACTAGACAGGACTCTAGCACTTGCCCGCCCCGGCCCTGCTCCCACGGTGGAGTCTACCTCTTCTCGAATCTGAGCGACTTTATCTGCAAAAAACTTTGCAAAATCATTGCAGGAGATCATGTGGCCCGTACTGGGCCCTGATGGAGCAGGTGGTTCCGCCAAATTGCGAACCACCTGAAAGAGTCTCCTGCTGATGTTTTCCGCAGATGCAATAGAGGCGGTGAAGAAAGTCTTCTTCGCCGTCGCTATCGCCACTTGGTAGGCTCGACATTGAGCTCTAACCCATGTCCAGCCAGCTTCAGAATGAGTTATCCGCCACCGGCACTCTAGCCATCTCAACGATTGTTTCATCGCCCTCAGCTCCGGGGAAAACCACGGGGCTGTCCGGGCTCCATGCAATCGGGGAGGGCGCTTCGGAGCCAAACAGTCAATAGCCCTAGTTAACTCCACATTCCAGCAGGCCACCAGGGAATGAACTGAAAGGCCATCAACATGGGATAAAACATTCCCTACCACTCCTTGGAAACCATTTGGATCCATTAAGTGGCGGGGGCGGACCATCTGAATCGGTCCCACCTCCCTGCAGAGGGGAAGGGTCACGGAGAAGTCCAGTTGCACCAGGAAGTGATCTGACCATGGCACTTTTTTCGTTTCACTTTTACTTAGTGTCAGATCACCAACATCCACAGAGGTAAAACTCACTGTCTGCAATTTAGTTTAAATTTCTTAACTTATTCAACTTGGAAAACTATTTACATAACTTGTGTTCATTTCAGTATCAAAAGTGGAAAAGGGTAATTTGTTATGTGTCATTTGAGGGGTAAAACAATAATTATATGAAAGAATGCATATCATGTTCATTTGACCAATTTCCGTTCCCAAATCCTGACCACAGACGAGCATTCGAACTGCAGCAATTTCTGCTTTCCCCCCAGTTTTTGCTGGAATTATTCAACATGAGCCACATTTCCCAATGTGGCTCTTTTCCTTTCCTTTCTCGCAGATTTTTTGCTTCCATCCCCCAATGATGGGTAGGCAAAACACTGGATTCTGCTGCCACTCTAGAGCTGGTAAAGGCAACTCTCTCTCTCTCTCTCTCTCTCTCTCTCTCTCTCTCTCTCTTCCATCAAATAATTGCAAATCAGAATGACGTAGCCGCTTTCTCCAAAAGAACCTGAGAGCTTAACTGTCTCTTGATCTAGGATGAAAAATCCATCAGTCATATTAAATAGGGGAGCTCACGGCCCCTTTTTCCTGGCTGAACATTTGCAGGAGATGAAAACTGCTGTGACCCTCAGGAGAAGGGACTTGGGAAAGCCCATAGAAGACATGGGGAAACTGCTGGCGGAGCTGCCCTGCTTGATGCTGGCCTGTTAGCCTGCTCCTATGTATGAGGTCATGTGTGGATTCTGAGGCTCTGCCACGCAAGCTTGGAGTTTGGAACGGTTGTGCGCACAAAGCATCTGCCACCTTAACTGTGGGATATTTAAAATGCTGTCAAACCAACAATTCGTCTTTTGGAGATAGGCACATGATAGGAGCTGAAGCTTGCAGAGTTTTCTTGTAAGTTTGCTAGAGAGAACTCTGTGAAAGGCATTCCCACTGGGCCCTGACAGGCAGAGGGCATAGCTATATATATTATCTTCCCTGCCTGGGTGCATCCTCTCTTTTCCCCTCTGTTCTTCATCTCTTCATCACCAAGCCAGAAATGTGAAAACATCTGCTAAGTCTGAACTACATGCTCAGACTACATCTTATGCTAGAATTAAGCATGCCTTAATGGATTACTATTTGCAGCCTGCCTGAACAAAGCTGCTGTATCTGTTGCTCTTCAACAAGTATTCAAAGTGAGTAAATGTGTGTGTGTTTGTTTGTTTTACATTTTTACAAGACTGTTTGTGTAGTTGTTATTTTAAGAGGGAGAAAAGGGGGAAAACACCAGGAGAATCCATTCTGCCTTAAAGCAGCCTGGATTACTTAAACTAAAAGACTAAAACTAACGTATTTAAGCTTCCCTTTTAAGGAATGACACTCTGCTGAACTCAAAATGTGAGGAAGGAAGGATAATATCTAACAAATATATCCTCTCCTAGCATCATTTCACATCCCAAAGTAGATGACCTTGGCTTCCGTCACTCCTTCTCTATAAAACCCAATTGACAGCAGTCTGTCACACTACAGAACAACCAACATGTCAGGGTAGGGCTTTGATGATGGGAGTGGTTGTGTTTCCTCAGCACCTCCCATCAAGAGACAAAGTCAACAGGCTACCATCTGAGAGGGAACAAATCTGTTTACAGGCTCTGGTACCATCTTTGTGCCTTCCAACAGAAGTATGAACTGGGATTGATGCAGAAATCACACAAGTTACTTATACGAGACACATGTTGATTAATGTGTTCCGATACAGATTGTCTTGTTTTACAAAAGAGGTAAAGGGATCAGTGCTGTATACATTCCAAAAACATTGCTTTCTCCAACCACAAACCCTTTCCTGGTAATAAAATGTTTGGAGATATTCACCTCACTCATTGTCCTCAGAATGATCAGAGATCGCCTGAGA